GTTCCTTCGTGGAGTGATCCCGCGGTGCTGTTACCGCGGCCGGTGCTACGCCTGCGTCCCGAGAGAGTGTCGCCTGCCAAAATGGAGTCGTCCAAGCTCCCACCGGTGCGACAGCAGCAAGAAGGAACACACCCGTACCATAATAATAAAAATGTTCAGCAGCATGTGACGCCGCGAGGAGCTGCAAACACGCTGGTGCAAAGACCCACTGGAGAGGCGGCTCCGTCTGTGTCTCACCGACGATTGGCCGAGGTTGTGACAAGGCTGGCGACCTCTCGAACTTCATCGCCGCAGCTCCATGCGCAGCAATCCATTTACTCGCTACTGCCCGCGGTGCGAACCAGCCCTGATCAACGCGACGCGCTGTACCGTCAGCGTCGACGACGGGGAAGCGTTTCTCATGCCCGAATGGGGCCCACCGCCGCAGGCCCGCCAACGCATATGTCCTTTCATAACGCACCGTGGGGACCGGCTCTAGTTTCCACATGGGCGCATCCAATGCACCGCAGCACAAACGGCGCCTCGCAGACTGGGCGTTTTGTGGGCGACAGGAATGTATTCTATTACTAGGAGGGTGCGGTGGTGCCGCTTGCGGGTTGACACGCCCCGCGTTGATAACAACGATGTGTTGGTGGATGGCGGCAGTCCATACGTGCGTTTGTGGGAGCAGCAACAGGGAAAGTTGGCGGTGATTCAACAATATGGACGAACCGAATGAGTTGGATCCACCAATCAGAGGGGAGGAGAATGCTCACTAAAAGGGACATGGGAAACCAAACATCTTGATTTGTTTTGTGCTGGCAAGGCGGCATACCCTGTCAGTCCACGTGAATAGCATACATCTATGCTTAAGTGTGTCTAATGTAATGGGGGAGCGGCAGGTCATTGTGGCTGAAATATCCCAGAGTTTCCGACTTTTTAAGTAAAAAGTAATTCAAAGCCGTATAGATTGTCGTGTGTCACTGCAGTGACCAACAAAATGTATATACTTTTGGAGCAAAAATTGTGTATGTGGCGAAGCCCCCGCCTCTTATCTTACACCGTTTTTTTTTTTTTTTTTTTTTTTTTTTTTTCTGTTTTATTCATGTATAATTTCAGAATCCAGCCAGTGGTCCAGGCGAATATTCATTGTTTTTTTCTTTTCTTTTTTTTTGCTTTTGTTGTTTTAGATTATTTGTATGTATGATACATCCTTTTTTTTTATTTTATTTTTATTTTTATTTCTACTTACAGAACGATGTATACATTCTTGTAGAAGGGCCTTAATAATAATAATCATAATGAGTACAATAATAATAGTTTGTATGTACATGCATTTATATACATTTATATACATATTTATATTTATATTTATATGTACGTATATAAATGTTCAAATCTTTTTTTTTTTTTTTTTTTTTTTGGTTTTGGTTTTGCTTTTAAGCGCATTTATGTAGGAGTAAATGTTAATAGTGCGGGAAGTGGAAAAAATTTTTTGTTTGTTTGTTTGTGGCTGTTGTTTGTGAATTGTACCGTTGCAATGTGCGGCCTGACATGTTTTTTTTTCTTTTTTCTTTTCCCCCCCCCCTCCTCCCTTCCACCAGCAGCCACACAGCAACGTGTGCACACGCTTCAGAGAGAGAGAGAGAGAGAAAGGGGACATGATGCAAAGAAATAAAAAAAAAAAAAAATAAAAAAAGGGGGTGGGGGGAGAGAAATAAGAGAGTAGGCGCAGCCGTGAGTCATAAATGACGCGTATATTTCCTACAATGTGGTCATGCAATTTCTGTGATGGGAAAAATGAAAAACAAAATACAAACGGAGGTCCGAAAATTAAAAAAAAAAAAAAAAAGAGAAAAAAAGAGAAAATGAAAGATGAACGAAGAACGAAATTTTGTTTAATTTCAATTTTGACTCATAGTTTTATGCGTGTGTATGTATTTGTATGTATGTGTGTGTGTGTTTGCACGCGATTATTCAACGAACGATTAATTTTGTTGTTTTGTTTGGATTCCATTTGGATTTCCCTCCCGTTCCCTGCTGGAGGCTTCTGTTTATCTGTTGATATGTGTACACATGGAATGCCTTCTCCACACCCTCCTCCTTCGATGTCTCTCTCTCTCTCTTTTTTTTTTGTGCTTTCTTCTTTTACGGCATTCCTACCACTCTTAGTGCACCATGAATGAGCCATGCTGACAGGGACGTCCCACGCACCGTTGCGAGGAGGAGACAGGGCAGGAGAGTGTTCATGCGTTTGGGATGCTTGACGAGGAACCGGACGGAGGCCCTCCTTTATTAAATGTACCTGCCCCATAAATGGGGAACGAAATGCCACGCAAATAGCCGAGGCCACGCTGGGTGACATCTTCCATTCTGCGCGGTCAGAGAAGAAGGCGGCGGCGAGATCTCACTCCTCTCTCTCAATTCCCTTCCCCCCTCTCCCTTTCAATTTTTTTTTTTTTTTTTTTTTTTTTTTTGTGTGTGTGTGTGTGGAATGTTTCTGCGACCACAAACGATGAAGAAAGAAATGAAAAGAAAAGAAAATGAAGATTTCTTCAATGCCGTTTTTATTTTATTTTATTTTATTTTATTTATATAAAAAAGGGAGGGAGGACGGGAAAAAGATCAAAAGATAGGGGAAAGACAATTCATGCAGCGACAAGCACGGCTTCTGCATGGTGTAAATGACGCCTCAGATGTATCGCGGATGGATCCATGGAAAGATGATCGTTGTCGCGACTTCATCGCCCTTAACACCATTCAGCGACTGCGCTCTTACCATGCAGATACACTACTACCTGTGGAGCCGATAAATATTCTTCGGGCGAAAAATCTCCTCCTGTTGCCAAAGGCAGGACCGGATGCAAGGACATGCGATACCGAGGAAGGTTGTGCTATTGACACAGCGAGAATTTTATTCTTCGGCCCTAAATCCTTCACTTCATTGACGTCACCAGGACGCATGACTGCCTTTCCACACGGTGGTGGCAACAGTGGTAGCCGAAGTAGTTTTTCTCATAGCGAGGAAGTGAGAAAGTCATCTTCTGTCAAAAGATTTTTGCAAACTCCCTCTATGCCTTTGAACTGCTCTCCGTCAGTTGATTCGGGGCAGCAACAAGGTGAGTTAAATACGGCGACTGGAGAAGGTGGTGGCACATTAGACAACGGTGGAATTAAGTCGCAAGGGACCCATCAAGAGGCATTTGATGCGGGGGCCACACCATTAAGGCGTCCGATGAGTGATGCCATGACAACCCCAGCCCCCCGTCCACCCGAGCCTGTTACTGGAGTTGTCACCACATGTGAGGAGGGTAATGAACATATAAATGAAGGGCGTAATGCTTGTCAAACTGTTTCTGGTGTTGTAAAATTTTCGTGTGCGATTGTGGACGCTATCGTGGCATACTATCAGTCCCTTCTTAGCCGAGGCGTCGTGTTAGATCGGTTTAACTCCAAAGACTTAGCCTTTTCATGGTGGGTGGTTGGACGAAACATGGATGTAGCAGCTTTGCATCATTATACAGGACCAATGCGGCGTGACTCTTTGGTGATTCTTGTCCGTCATTTTTACTACGAATTACTCGCGGAGCAGCGGCCAAAGAAAAGTCTCCTGTCAGGCCCGGTTTTTGTGCAGTCCCAGGGACAAAAGGAAGAGAGGAATGAGGCGGCCACTGCCTCACCGAAGCCGGAGGAAGAGACGGTGTGGACGAAGTTGCATGGCCAAAGCGAAGATGCACAATTGCCACAGACGACGGGGAATGATGCCACGACAACAGCTGCGGGAGAAAAGGGGGACGGGGCAAAAAAGCGGCCACGTAGTCGCCTTGATCCGACTCGCACAAGTCCGCTTCCAGTTAGTAATCGTCTTTGCCGCCGACGCCGTCTGGAGGAAGGCATAAATGGTGAGAAGCCAAGCGAAGCGGAGAAATCAACGGGGGCTCCGAAGGCTATCGGAGCATCTACTGTAACGAGCAACCGAACGGCGTCGGCGTCCAAGCAGGCACAAAATTCCAAGGGAAAGTCGATAGTGCAGACACCCGTTGCGAAGAAAGTTACTGTACCCACGGCACAAATTGAGCCAACAACAACACAACCACCCACGGCAGCATCTTCATCGTCCGTCGCAACGGCATTAGAGTCCACCGCACAAGAGAAGTCCCACGTTGCCGCGACGCATGCTGGAGAGGACACTCCACCGATTGAACGGCCACATCGATCTTCTCGTTCAGCGAACATCGAAGATGTTTGGCGTCCGATTCGCTTAACACGAAGGCGTCTTCCTCCCTCTGAAAATAGTACTGATTTCACCGAGGTGACCTCAACAACAGCAGAAAAGGGATCTGCTTCTGTGTCGTTTCTTAACCTTATAGTAGAACGAATTAATAAACGGATGGCAAATGATTCTAACTACGCTGATCTTCTTACGGCATGTCCAACCAGGAATTCTGAGGTGAAGGCTGAGGTGGGATGCCACAATGTTCTCTCAAATACCAGGAACGATAATGCAAAGATACTTCATGGCATGCATCCGGCGTTGATGCAGCTTTTTCGTTATTATCATACATCCGCTCCCGATTTGTTTTTGCCACGCACCGGATTAGACATGGGGGAGGAGGCAGGAACGACAGAGGAAGAGAAAACCAACATGGCGGAAAGAGCAGCAAAAAACAACATTGCTTCCATCTTTGAGGAAAATGGGGAAAACGGAGAGGAACAGCAGATCTCAGTCACTAAGCGAGAGCCTTCTACGGCACAGTCTCATGATATGATTACTGCCTCGGAGACTCTTGTTAAAGTTGAGCATGTAAACGAAGATGCCATTTCATCAGAGCCAAATGGACTGAAGGACGAGAGCCACGTGGATGCAGAAGCAAAGGCACCTCTTGTGCAGCTTCCCTTTTCCTTTTCGGAGCTGACTTACGCCCAGCGATGCCTGTTAACCTGGGAGGCCTCATTGCTTCTTAACCCACGACCAACACTACTGGCGAAGAGGGGATCACAAGCGACATCAGGCGCCAAAAAGTGCCAAATCAATCCCTCTATAGCTAAGCAAAGGCACTACTATGACTACTGGGGGAACCCATAGATTTGGAAAGGCCGTCTTTGTTTTTATTTTTCCTTCTCTCCCCCTCTTATTTTTTCCCTTTTTAACTCTTCGTTCATTCCCGCCATTATCATTGTGACGGATCATTTTTTTTTTTGTTTGTTTTTCTCTCTTTCCCTTTTTCTCTTTCTCTCTGTCGATGTGTTTATCTACTTGTACGATTGTCTCAATTTTTTATTTTGTCTGCTTTTTTTGTAGCGGTGAGTAGGAGACCCTATCGATCGATTGAGTGGTTGGGTGGGAAAGAGACAAATCAAACAACATCAACAGCAAAAAAAAAAGAGAGAGTGAGAGAGAGAGAGGGAGGGAGGGAAATTACTGTCTTATGTTTACATTTGCTTGGGGTTTGTACAACTCGCTTTTTTCGGATCGAACGTACAAAGTTCTTATTATTGGTCTTGAATCCTCCGGCAAGACCACGCTTCAAGAACAGATGAAGTGTATATACGCAACGAACAGTAATAATGCCTCACAGACGGGGTCGGGC